TGCTGTGTCTCGAGTCTCTCTTCCACACTCTCCCACACACACACACACACACACACACACACACATTAAAAAAGACATACAATAGAGGATTTGGGAAAAAGAGAAAAAAATAATAGTGCTACTATCACAGAACCATTCAGCCTCGCAAAGAGAGCGCTCATATTTACAAAGATATTCCAAAATGGGATGGGAGCGAATTGTACAAGCATAGTAAAGAAAAGAAGCAACTATGTACATGCGCTTCTGCAGAAAGCTGGAGTAACCATCTATACATTAAATTACATTTCTACAAATAACCATTAGAATTCAAAAATAAACCGCTAACATACTACCTACCGGTCAGTTATCATTCAACCAAATCTTAAAAGCCAGGACATTCACTTGCTTTCATACCTCTCTTGCGTGCAAACAATCACGCTCGCACACACGCAGACACACGCAGGGACAGACACACATGCGTGAACAGACACGCATGCCAGCACACAGGCACGCACACTGACACAGACACACACTGACACAGAACGCATTCCTGGCCTTCCAGAAGGCTTTTCTCTCCAAAACTCTCTGCAGCGGTGCACAAATTTTGTTACACGCAGTAATAAAAAAAATAATAGTTCTGTATTTTCTTTGTACAAAAAGCTTTCTTTTTCTCACTAAGCTGAACCACTAAATACACAAATAAATGGGGATAAGAACAGATAGACGAGGAGAGAAACTGTGAAACGTTGAACAAACTGGGAGGTGGGGGGCAGGGGGCAATGGTGGAATGTCCATTGATAAAGAAAGTTCTGGGCCTGACAGTAGGACTCCAGACAGACAGACGGACAGATGAGACCCTCAGTCATAAAGGAGACGTTAAGAAATGGCAGAATAAAATCGAAAACGCGCCATTGAGGACAGGGTGTCATGGGGAGGGCAATGAGCACCGGATTCGTCTGTCGTCTTTTTTTTTTACAGTCTCTTTTACAGGATTGCTTTGTAGTCTTTTTTAAATCCCACACCTCTTTTTTTTAAAAAAGTACCCATTTTCTCTTCGTCCTGTTTTTCCGTTGGCTTGGTGTACAAGTACATAGAAAATATTTACATGTCAAATTACAGGATATCCTCGCACCATTTTCTGCAAGTTTGTGGGGCTTTTATTTTGAAGCGGTGGCAAGCGGGTGGTGCGTGGGGGGTTGTCAGTGCCACCCCGTGCCCAGGTACCCTGCTGTGTGGAAGGGGGCGGAGGAGGGGGCTCCGCGGGCTCCACTTGGCAGCGGTGAGGGCGTGGCCTGCGACTGCGTGGGCGGGGCCTGCTGAGGCGGGGGAGGGGGGGGGTGGCAGCACGTTCTGTTGGTGAGGCTGGTAAGCGGCTGAGGCCGCGTTGGCTGCACTGGTCGCTCCCGGATGCAGAATAGGGGTCTGGAACCCTCCCAGACTCTGATAGTGATGAGCTGCCGCCTGCAGTGGGGGGTTCGTGGAGCCCGAGGGGGGGGGGGGGGGGGGGGGGCGGGGCCTGCTGGAGTGACAGGAGGTTACTGCCACTGGCCTGCTGCTGGGGGACCTGGCTCTGGATGGGAGGAGGTGGCGGCGGAGGGGCGGAGCCAATCACATGGGGGGGAGCAGAGCTCAGCAAGATGGGTGGAGCCATGTTGACGTGCAGCAGGGCTGGGCCGGCCTGGGGGTGTGGGGGCGGGGGAGGAGGAGGGGGTGGAGCAGAGGAGCTCTGGTAGTGCAGCGCATGGTGAGGCTGCATTAGGGTCTTGTACCCAGAGAAGGGGCCAGCTGTGGCCGCAGTCTGCCCGGGGAAGTAGGCGGCGGAGGCGGGGGGAGCTGGGGGAGGCGGGGGAGGGGGAGGGGGAGTTTGAGAGCCGTACTGGGCGAAAGCCTGTGGGGCCGGCGAAGCCTGGGCCTGGGGTTGGGCCTGAGGCTGCCCAGAGTGGAAGGATCGCTGGCCGCGGTACGGGGAGCCCTGGGGCTGCGGCTTGGGCGAGTGCAGCAGGGTGGGGCTCGGGAACAGGCCCTGGGGCTGCAGTTTGGTGGGGGTCAGGGGGGCTGGTTTGGCCACCAGGGGTTTGCCGGGCTGCTGGACGGACGGAGAGAGGCAGGGAGCGCGCGTCTGACTTTCACCATCCTCCTCTTTCGTGGAGCGGGTCATAGGCTGGGGCGCAACACTGGGGCCTGGAGAACCCGGCTGGTGGGGCAGAGAGGGAGAGAGAGAGAGAAAAAAAGAAGGAAAGAAGGGAAAGTTCAAACGGTTAATGTCAGAAAGAATATTTACAAGATATTTTTCGGATCAGTAAATATGCATAACTGCTTGCATTGCATTTCACGCACTGCATATTTCCTCTAATAACTCGCTTCACAAAGTTGACGATGTATTCTGATGCCTCAAGTAAGATAATCCAACAGTGAGGCAGCAATGATCAAATCATGGTCCCTGAGGTCCTGCCGGTTTTCAACCCTCCATTTACCCAGGAGTCAGCTAGAAAGACCGTCCATCCAAACTGAGGGCCTAATTATTCATTTAATTGTTCAGTTAAAGGTACTGTAAGTAATATATACTGGACAAAGAAAGTTAGGGATCACCGAACTTTTCAATATTAAAATATGATATGGAAAAAAATACAAACTATCACACATTTCAAATTCAAAATTTGGGGTGATCCCTAACTTTATGTGTCCAGTGTATTTTAGCTAAAACAAGTGTTAAATAGCTCCACATTCCGACAGAGATCATTGATTTAGAGTGTCCGGTCCGTGACACAGGTCTCGCAGTCACTTTGCACCAGAGCAGCATATAAAATCCTGGAGTCACCCACTGCCTGTATCCAATTAGGTGAGAAAGCACCATAAAGAGGCGGTCCTCTCCGTCTGAATGCGCAGAGAGCTGATTCTGTGTTGTTGACTATGGCGGAGCAGATGAAGCTACCGATCCCCGCTCTACGAAAGACGACGTACAAAGCGCCAAAAAAAGGCAGAGGAACAGATGGAGTCAAAGAACAAAAAAACGTGAGATGGCCAAGAGCCGTGTATATATCGGTGCCGCTTTGGAGAGGTGGAGAAAACTGCAGGAATCCAATGGTCGAAAAAGCAATGCATAGCTAGCCTTGCTGCTATTGGACAGGTAAACCATGTTTTACTCTGTAGTAGTAATGCAGTTTTATTAGTCTCGGGTAGTCCTGTTGGTGGTTTTTAATCCTGCTTACAGTAGTCTAAAAATTTTCAGTCGTCGATTGTGGCCGACTACAAGCTATTGTCATTTGTTCTGACAAAGGGAGGCCGTTGTCTTACTATGACGGCAATGGCATGTATTTAAATAAAAAATGCTTTAAAAGGGCTAGCAGAAAAGTGTTTTTGTATCGAAAATTGTGATTTTTTTTCCGAATCAACGATCTCCTCACTGTATTCAGGGACGCCATTGCGCCATTACCTGTTGGTGTGGCTACAGGACACTAGCTAGCTTTAGCTAATACTTCCAAAAAGCCATTCATGCCGAAGTTTCTGCATGGGGGTAATGTGTCGTTGGTCCATGTTTTCAGTGTGGCTTTCACACGACAATCACAGAGAGTGTTTGTTTATATTGTACTGATATTGTAACTGAGTCGCTGCTATCCCATATCTGCCTCTGTTGGAAACCGATGACTGTTCATGAGCAGTTTTGCCATGGGGGCGGGGACTGCTTACTTCGGCGGCGGCCAGGAAGCTAGCTAAAACGACCAAAACACTTACAGCAGCTTTAGGCAGTTAATAACCCGAGAGAAAAGAAAATCAGGCCATGAACTGGATTTGAGGCCCAGATTTTGGTAATTCCTGCTATAAGGGACATTAACGGAGCTGGTCTAGACCGGGGGTAGGAATCCCTGCTCCTGGAGAGCCCTAGCCTCACATTTTAGATGTCTCTCAGATCTAACCCACCCAATTCAAATTACTGTAGCGTGCCAAAGGCTTGACTATTACAAAGATGCTTGATAATGATTTAAGACGTTTGATTAGGAAAAAACATGCAGGGCTTTGGACTCCCTAAGAGCAGGATTCCCTCCCTCTGCTCTTCACTGCACTAGAAACTAGATCTTGAGCAGGTGCGCGTGGAGATAGAGGAGAGCAAGGTGTCTGCTTGCGCGCGTGTGTATGGTGCACAGATTAACACGTTGCTTACAGAGCTGAACTCTCACCTTGTGTACAGAGGGACTCCTGCAGGTCTTGTGTGAGCTGGGAGAGGTGCACTCCTTCACTACAGCCGCTTCACCTCCGTCCGCCTCAGGGCCGTCTGCAATGCAAACACAAACACAGTTACAGCTCCGCATGCCTCGGAGCTACAACACTGCGCAAACTATAATCCCCACAAACCTGACTTTACCCTCACCTCTATTGAGATGCAAAACATGTGGGCAAGTGTGTGAGAGTGTGTGCGCATAGTGTATGAGTGTGTGAGTTTAAGTATGTGAGCTGAGTGTACCGTCTTCACTCTGACCAGTGTCCCAGTCCTCGCGGTGTGTGTGTCACCACTCTGACTCGAGTCACAGTCCCTGCAGTGTGGGCGTGTGTTCACATCTTTATTTTACTTGTGGAGATGTAAAGCCCCTCAAAGATAGTCAAGTCTGAAAAAATAGTGTTGGCTAGGTATGAAAGTAGGATTTTTTTTTAAATTTTTTTATTTGACATCTCCAATCCCATCCAAATCTGGAATGTCCGATTGTGGAACTATGTACCAGGCTTTTCGCATATGCAGCCCCCTATTGCCAACTCAGGAGAGTGAGACAGCTCGCGGCTCTCCTCCGAAGCACGTGCCCGTCGCCACCGCTTCTTATACACTCATTGGTCGAAACCTCGCAAGCTCAGAACGAGGGCGGAGGATACCTGAACATGAACGAGCTTAGAATCTTCCTAACGAGCGCCCGTCTGGCCAACAGGAACTTATTATTTACAATACCCTATCCCAGCAGACCGTTCCCAATTTGCATCCCTGAAGCGCATTGGCCAATTGTGCAACTCTGAAAAGAGCTGCCGACCACTGCTGGCTGCCACGAGGCGGGGCTCGAACCCGCACCGTGATAGTCACTTCTGCTTCGCAATGCCATGCTTTACCGAGTGAGCCATCCAGCAGCTCGAAAGTAGGATTTTTAGAGCAAAAAAATTTTTTGGTCCCCACGGGCATAGAAAAAAAAAAAAAAAAAGCCGGTGTGTGTGTATAGTGTGACCTCTCTGACCTGAATCTCTGTCCTTGCGGTGGTCACTCAGCAGCAGGGCCCTGTGGTAGCCCCGCTCCCTCGCCTGCTCCACTGATGTAGAGGACGTCCTGAAAAAGAGTTCACAGATTAACTCACTGGAGCTGCACATCATCTCTAAACTCAACACAGCAAAGCCCCACACCCACACTGTACCTGTGCTCATTACAGGACATTTACCTGGCAGGCACTTTAATCTAAAGCCAGGTACTACAATTGCATGCCAAAAGTCATAATCAATTGAAACAGTGAAATATAAAACAGATCAGATGATTTGCAAAACTCACACATTATAAAAATCATCCAGTCTGAATGGTAAATAAAGGCTTAGTAAGAGAATTAGCAAATTAAGCCAATAAAATTAGGCACAAACTATATGAGAGGTAGGATTTCAATGGACGAAAGATGAACTGGCAAAAAAACTACATCAAGATGGAGAGCAGCAGCAACACTCTGACTCCACACGGCAGCTTAAGCTCTGACTCTACGCGGAGGCTAAGCTTTGACCCCACACCAAGGCCAAGTTTTGCAGCCAATTTGAGTGGAGGTACACACCATTGTCCCTCTCCCCCCTCTCTCTCCCCCTGGGGTGGCGTCTCCCTGCCGTCGCACGACTGAGGTGCCTCGGCGGCTGAGGGGCCGGCCAACTGCACCGAGGGCTCAGGGGTCGTATCCATAGCAACTTCAAATGCTGAGCCGCAGAGTCCAACCAGAGGGGGCGCCGTAGAGATAGGGGAACCACATTCCGCCTTGGAGCCGCTGCGTCGAGCCTCACGCTGACGTTTCCTATACTCCAACAAAGATACCTGGAGAGACAAGTGCATGCACACAGAGACACATCAGCAAAAACAGTGCGTGTATAACTGATACCAACAAACTTTCAATGATACCTTTCACAACATCTACAGATCTCTGCCCAGCCCATACACAGCTATTGTGGTACACTGGTATTACAAAAACTTCGTTGTTTTTTCATCAAAAAATGTGGATATGATGATCGCAAATCTGCACAGCCATTTTTCATTCGTTTAACAGCGGAAAATCAAACAAGAATGCATCAAACACATTCAGGCAAATCTGTCATGTTTCATGGTCATTTAAATTTCAAAATGTGACAAACAAAAAATGATATCTAAATAAATTAGACTGTCTACCAATGTAAATTGTTAATTAAGCGAACCAACCGTTTGATTGCAAATTGAGCAAAGTAATGGGAGGAGGGCGAGAGCAATTGTCGGGTAGAGGATGATTTTTTTTAGCAAACCTTAACTTTGCGTTGTTCAGCACGTAATTCGTCTGAAGGTGTTAGCTAGATTATTTCTAGTTTTACATTTGGCCGCTGTGTGTGAGTGCAATAACGATTTGCATGTCACGTTTGATACGCTTAAACAAAATGTTTTTCACCTTCACTGTAGGTAATTTAGATGCTCAAAAGTAACCAAAATCAAGAGCTATGAATGACTTTAATTCAAATTAATCTCGTTCAATTATCAAATTAAAAATGCGACAAATTTGTGGCACAAATTCTCCTGAATGTGTTTGCCAAGTCTTCGCTGCATTTGTCTATTCCCTGCAACGCGAAAATAATTTCTCTCTCACACCCACGTTCGATATGCTTCACAAAATGTTATCCACTTTGCGTATATTTTTAGATGCTTGAAAATCAGGGCCATCTTAAAATGATTTCATTTTTAAGAAATCTTTTTACTGACACGTAAAAATTCTATGATGAGAGGTGGAATTCAGAGGTCTACTATTCAGATTATTGACATTCTTTCAATCTAACACAGCAGCCTGGTTAGGTCTGTCTGCTTCTCATGATCTCTTCTTAATCACTATAGGCCATATTTTGGTTTTGATTAGTCAGTTGGCTGAATAAATCTCTTGATTGCAAGTTAGGCAAAGTACATGGGATTTGATTTAAGGTAAGCTAATTATGCCAAGGCGATGGAGGCCGTTGAATCTCGCTGGTAATTAGCGGACTTCAAATCACAGTTTTCTTCCCAGAAGCATTTCAAATGGCTTCTGATGTTTGTTCAACACGGCATTAGGTATGTGTCATAGAAAATGTAATAAGCAAGCTAGTCTGTCTGCCCCATAGTGGCAGTTACTTTTATTGCGCTTAAAATAATCGTGATTTGGTTAATCGCCCCGCCCTACCACTAACTGAACGGACACCAGAAAATTTTTGAGGTCGGGTGTTAACAGCAAGAAAGTTAATGCTACATTGCAGGCTTGACACCAAGCGCATTTCACTTCATTATTCTGTAACCAAGACCGTCAAACAGCAATGTTAGCTAGGATATACTCGCATAATTCCATTAAGTGTTAGCTGTTTTCTAATTGTAGCTAATGGGTTAGCAAACAGGATGTTTTACCTCAGCAGACTGCCTACTGCCCCTCCACATTTTCACTATTTATTGCCTTTTCTGTTTGTGATCAATTGGGAAGTGGTGAAATGATAATGGTTCCAAATCTGACATACAGCATTAGGTCGTTATTTTTAAGGTAACAGCACTTGAGTTTCCAACCCTTGAGCACGACCTCAGAGGAAACGGGCTATCATGTGAAAATGGTCACATTTGCAGGTATAAATAGACGTGCCGATTAAATTTCTTTATTACCTATGTATCTGCAGAATTAGAAATTCACAGACAGTGGTGTCCATTACTTCCAGTAGAAAATATGGTCGAACCCGCATTACTGATTAATTTCGAAGATGATCAAAGAAGAATTACACGAGACGAATGCATACTATTAGCTGGATAATTATTGTTCTGAAACCATCGCAAAACATTTTTTGCAAAAAAAAAAAAAAAAAAAACAGGTTCTTGAATACATGAAAACCAGATTTTTTTTTACCATAACCCCGTACCTTGGAATGAGGCTTTGAAAACTGAACTGATTACAGGCAAACGGTAACACTTGGCAGGTGCAATTGCGTCACTATGCAAATACCTATGAAAATATTCGTTTATCTGCCATTTTTGTCTAACAGCTGAGGAACTGCAGTTTCACAGAGTTTGTAAATTTACGGAGGCTCTATTAGTAACCGGCTGGCACTCAGTTTACCCACCTTCTTCTTCTGGGGGGGGTTCTGCGCCGTCCCGCCCGCAGCATCCCCCGTCCCATCACCCCCGAGGGAGCGAGCGAACCCCAGGGCGACCCCTTCCTCAGAGCAGGGGTAGTAGAGAGTCCCCTCCCCAAACGCAGCTGAGGGGGCCGGTGCAGGGTCAGGCCGGAAGGCCCCGGGGTCCAAGGTGTGGGAAGGGGTGAGGTCCCGCAGATTTGAGTTGACCTGGGAGAAGGACAGGCTGCCCCGCTCCGGGCTCTTTATCCAGGACTGGAAAGGGGGTGCGGTGAGCTCCGAGACAGGGGCGTCAGGCGCGCTCTCCGCACTGCCGTCTCCGGCCTCGTCCCCCACGCAGTCCTGCGGCTCCTTCCTCGGGGGCCGTGGGCTGAGAGCCCCAACTGTCCTGATTTCCTGGGGAGGGGCATCTAAACTGGGCCCACTGCGCACGCAGGGGGAGGAGAGCAACGAGGGAGGGCGCTCCACCTGCTGGGGAGAGGGGCATATTACATACCACTACATCAGCATTTCACTCATGAGCTGCCAAAAGGTGTTCCTGGAGATCTACCACCCCACAGATTTTCATTCCATCCCTAACTAATGCACACCCCGTTCTACAGTGTTGTTCAGTCGCCATCTAGCCGAATCAGACTTAGGAAATTACATACGAAACCCTCTAGGGTGGCTGACCTCCAGGAATGGAGGAGACCAGCCATTTGGTTAAGCTTGAGCATTTTTGTTTTCAAACATACAACTGAACCAGTGAATCTCCAGATAAGAGGTCAAAGATCCAGTTCCTCATCTCCGTCCGTGTTCCACCATTTATTTCACCCTGATGCAAACATACATTAACACTCAGACACACAGACGTAGACAAACACACGCACACTCGGATAAACACACAAAGACTCAGACGCACTCAGCATGAAGTCATGCATTTTCTCCCTCTACGCCAGGCACCATGCTCTCTCACCTCTTGCACGCTGGGTCTGCGGCTGCTCTCTGGGGAACTTTCCGGAGAAGATTCGCTCTGAAACACAAAAAACAAAGACTCAATGTTTGTGTGTGCGTCTGTAAATGTGAGCACGAGTGAGTATGTGCACCCATGCATGAGTTAACATTTTCACAGTGTATGTAGCTACGTCAATGGGCATGCAAAAGTGTTGCACTTGTGCGAGTACACTGCATGTTCATGTGTAAGTTAGCATTAGCATGTTCTAGCTCGCCTCCAATACAGCAGGAAGTGCCCCTGTATTGTGTGAATGACTGCACGTGAACATACTGCATGTTTATGAGCTCTGCCATGAGTGAGTTAGCGTCGGCACATTTGTGCTAACCTCCAATGGAGCAGCAAGTGCCTGTGGTGTGTGTGTGTATGTGTATAGTGTAGTATAGCAGCACCTACGATTGCCACAGCATTCGGCAAAGTTTTTTCATGAAACATTGATAAGATAATTAAAGCCAAAAAAGCCAAATGATCCTATCAGTTGTTTCATTTATATCAAGAAAGTATTACGATTCTAATATTACTGAAGTGAATTTTGCACATCATTTTTTTCCAGAAAATGTTACCATTTTGTCATGTCTGCAAGCAGCTTTCTTGGCATCAGCTAGTGAACGAATTCTGGTCGTCGCGCAAGCCTATAGTCGCCGCCTCTTACATAAAAAGTTACTGAAAAAGGTATGTCGCTTAGATCAAGACAGCTAAAATGCTCTGGCAGGTACCCGTTTGCGCATATGTGTGTATGAGAATATACACAGTATGTTGATGAGCCGTTTTCATGTACAAGTTAGCATTAGCATGTTTG